TGTCAAATGATTGGAATCAGTCCATCTTGTTTATGTTTCATTATCTGTATATTGGGGTAAACCTCCCCTAACCTGAGAAGAATATAAAAAGTACTTTCTCCATGTAATTCTCCTCTAAAATTTCCACTTTCTTTCTTCTTTTTTTTTTTTTAACGCTTTCAAACAGTAACTTCAACTGTCTTAAGGGGACTCCTAGTGGTCTCAAAGAGAATCAATTTCATGGTTGGAGGACAAGTAACTTTCCTTACTGAACATATTTTCTAAAGACTAAAATGTGCCTTGTTCATGTCTGGGCACACAGGGGTTGGGTTAAAGCAGTGCCCATCACTGGCCACTCTCGGCCACTTACCTGTTGTTCTCCCTACACTTAGCAGAGTTTCACCAACAGTGTGAAAATCAGTGTTCTTTTTAAACTTTCTATTTGGGGAGAATTTTACATTTACAGAAATGTTGCAAAGATTATACAAGGAATTCCCATATACCTTCTACCTGCTCCCCCTGATACTGCCACTTATACAAAAAAACCCAAACCCATTGCTGTCAAGTGATTCCGACTCATAGTGACCCTATGGGACAGAGGAGAACTGCCGCATAGGGTTTCCAAGGAGTGACTAGTGGATTCAAACTGCAAAGGTCAGCAGCCGAGCTCTTAACCACTGCGACCACCAGGGCTCCAAAAACTCCAGACTTCATTCAGATTATACCTATTTTCCACTAATGTCCTTCTTCTGTTCCAGGATTCAATTCAGGATACCACATTGCATTTAGGCAATCAGTTTTATAAAGGAGGTTTTTAAAAAAAATTAATTTAACAGATCATTTCTATGCTATTTAAATTATTTCAAAGTATAACCTCCCTTCCCTTGCCTCATTTGAGCATCCTTATTTAGGTTATTACTGTGTATAATTCACGGCCTATACTTATCCTTTTCACTGATATACACCTATTCCCCTCATCCCTGTGCCTTTCTAGCATATAACTCCTCCATAGTACATTCCCTGCAGCCAGGCTTGTCCTGGTGATAAATCGTCTAAATGTAAGTATTGTTGACTTCCTTTTGGCATGGATTTCTCAGGCTCACATCCAATTGCTAATCATGTTTCCATAGCTATGTTTTCTCTAAGCTATGCAAATTTCCACTCTAATTTGTTATAATCAGGTGAAACTCTTTTACTTATTCGGCCACTATTTATTGGGGTCTACTGTTTGCCAGGCACTGTGCTTGACAGAATGCTAGACCCAGAATAAAATAAAACAGACGCAGTCACACTCTGGTGAGGAAAACGGCTGTTAAACGAGGAAAAAAGTAGTTTCAGATTTGTGGTAAGTGTCATGCATGAGAGAAAACCGTTTCCAGTGGGAGCCTACTTTAGATTTGATGGTAGGTGAGGTCTCCCTAAGGAGGTGGCTTTTAAGCTGAGACTTGAAGAATGGAAAGGGGCAAGCCACTGAAGGGAGGGATGTGGGGTGGAGGCGTGTGAAAAGCATGTTCAGGGATATTAGAATTTCTACTTATAGAATTCTTTTTTGTTTGGTGCTTTTAGAAATGTTGTTAGATGCTGTGTAGTAGATTTTCTACTCAACCCACTGTCGTTGAGTTGATTCTGACTCATAGTGACCCTAAAGGACAGAGTAGAACTACCCCATAGGGTTTCCAAGGCTGTAAATCTTTACGGAAGCAGACAGCCACATCTTTCTCCTGTGGAGTGGCTGGTGGGTTCGAACAACCAACCGTTTGGTTAACAGCAGAGTGCTTTAACCACTGCACCACTAGGGCTCCTCCTAGTGATCCTATATGACAGAACAGAACTGCCTCATAGGGTTTTCTAGGCTGTAATATTTACAGAAGCAGATTACCTGGTCTTTCTCCACGAACATTTTGGTTAGGAGCCGAGCGCTTAACTATTTGTGCCACCAGGGCTCCTTTACTTGTAGAAATTTTAATATAAGAAAGAAAAAATTAATCTTTACTAATTAAACAATGTACAGATTGACACTGGTACCTTACTCCTGAGTCAAACAAGGTATTCTGAAAGAAGTGGGAATTCCACAACCCAGAAAGGTTGACAGTGACATAAAAGTTTACAGCATCATTTATAAATAAATTAAATTTTAAAATATTTCATGATTGTTTTGCCCTTCTAAAATTCTGTTTTGGAAGACTTTATAATACATAACCTGTTGCCACTGAGTTGATTTCAACTCATAACGACCCTATAGGACAGAGTAGAATTGCCTCATAGGGTTTCCAAGGAGGGGCTGGCCAACCTTTTGGTTTGCAGCTGAGCTCTTAACCAAATTAGTACAATAGAACATATTTCTAATTTATATATAAAAAGCCAGTTGACATCAAGTCGATTCTGACTCAGGGCAACCCATGTGTGTCAGAGTAGACCTATGCTCCATAGGGTTTTAAATGGCTGATTTTTTCAGAAGGAGATAGCCAGGCCTTTCTTCTGAGATGTGTCTTCATGGACACAAACCTCCAACCTTTTGGTTAGCAGCCGAGTGCACCACCAAGAGACTCCAATTTATATATAAATATATCTAAATCTAAATTTATATCTATCTATATCTATATCTGGAGCCCTGGTGGTATAGTGATTAAGTGTTTGGCTGCTAACCAAAAGGTTGGCAGTTCGAATCCACCAGCTGCTCCTTGGTAACCCTATGGGGCAGTTCTACTCTGTCCTATATGGTTGCTATAAGTCAGAATCAACTTGACGGCAATGGGTTTGGTTTTGGTATGTCTATATCTAAGGAGACCTGGTGGCTCAATAGTTAAGTGCTCGGCTGCTAAATGAAAAGTCAGTGGTTCCACCCACCAATGGCTCTGAGGGAGAAAAGACCTGGCGACCTGTTCCCATAAGGACCGCAGCCTAAGAACCCTATGGCACAGTTCTACTCTGTTGTATAAGGTCTCTCTATGAGTCAGAATTGACCGGACAGCATACAACAACATATCTATATCTATCCATCCATCCATCCTGAGAGACCTTTGCTTAAAATGTTTTATTAGTCATCTAAGATACGTCTACTGGTCTCGCCCTGTCTGGAGCACGGGAGAATGAAGAAAACCATAGACCCATGGGAAGATTAGTCCAAAGGACTAATGAACCACAACTACCACAGCCTCCACCAGACTGAGTCCAGCACAACTAGATGGTGCCTGGCTACCACCACTGACTGCTCTGACAGGGATTACAGTGGAAGGTCCTGGACACAGCTGGAGAAAAATGTAGAATAAAATTCAAACTCACACACACACACAAAAAGACCAGACTTACTGGTCTGACAGAGACTGGAGAAACCCCAAGCATATGGCCCCAGGACGCTCTTTTAACTCAGTACTGAAGTCACTCCTGAGATTTACCCTTCAGTCAAAGATTAGACAGGCCTATAAAACAAACAGGAGCCCTGGTGGCACAGCGGTTAAGAGCTCGGCTGTTAATCAAAAGGTGGGCAGTTTGAATCCACTGGCTGCTCCTTGGAAACCCTAGGCAGCTCTACTCTGTCCTATAGGGTTGCTATGAGTTGGAATCAACTTAACAGCAACAGGTTTTGGTTTATAAAACAAACAATAACACACATAGTTTAACTATGTAGATGAGACTAAATCCACACACCACTCCAGGGGCAAGGACAAGAAGGCAGGAGCGGACAGGAGAGCTGGATGAATGCAAATGGGGAACCCAAGGTCGAGAAGGGGAGAGTGTTGACATGTCACGGGGTTGGCAACCACTGTCACAAAACAATATGTGTATTAATTGTTTAATGAGAAACTAATTTGCTCTGGCAACTTTTACCTAAAGCACAATTAAAAAAAACAAAAAGACAAAAACAAAACAACATTTTATTAGTGGGGGGACTATCAAAACACTTCAGATGTTTTGCCTTAGAGAATGAATACACTGCTCACCTACTCCATAAGGCCTTGTTTAATCAACACTACCCCTTTGTATCTCACTGCCAACACAACCAGAGTCTGTCTAGACCAGTGACTTCCAAACCTGGCTGTGCATCAAAATGACCTGGGTACGGTAGTAAAATCGGATTCCTGGACTTTATCCCCAGCAGATTCTTACAGACTAGGTCTGGGATGAAGCTCAGAAAGCTGTCATTTTAAAGAGCTCCTTACACGACTCAATGCGCTGGCAGGTTTGGGAACCACAGGCAAGGATGATACAGGTATATGAGTCTGTGGGCACAGATATCTGTGCACTGAAATGCATGTTTGTTTGGGTCACCTGTACAGTTTTCTCTTTCTCTTCATACCCAAAAATGTTCTTCAAATCCTAGGAACCGAGTCTTATTCACTTGTGCTAAACATTGAGCTTGGTGTTTCATTACTCAGACTGTGTGCACTAAATAATGTTTATTTGCTGGCTTTGAAAAGATCAAAAAACAAGCGCTAACATGGTCTTAAGAGTGCTAAGGAGACATCAGAAATGACAGATTGAGAGTAATCTAAAATATGTGGCTGTGGAAGCTAAACCCAACATGGAGCCCCTTATGCCATGCCGGAAGAGCATGACTGCTACCTGGTTTCACACGGCAAAGGTTTAAGATGATTTAAGTAACCTAACTTTTAGAAATAGTAATTACCCTGTTTCTGTAGATTTATGTATAATCAACAGTTCCTGCTCTTTAACTCTTGCATTCCAGACAGGCAGACGTCTGGTTATCTGCCTCCTCTCAGCAAGCACGGAAGTCCCCACCACCGCACCTTGCCCCACCCCCGCCATTTTTATGAACCTCTGAAAAACCAGCTAAAACTGCCTGGACTTCTCAAACTCTGTTTGTTCCCCTCTGACTGTGTTAACACTGATGCTGCCACAATTCTTTGGAACACGCAGTTTAGGCTATGTGTTCCCCGATCCATGAATTGTTGATCGGATAATAAATCTCTAGTATTGTTTTTAACTTTGCTTCCATTCTCAGAAATTCTTTTACAAATATCACACATTAAATATTTGCAGAGTGATTAAGTATTTCTTACCTGGAACCAGGATGGTAATGGCTGTCTGCACCGCCTTCCGGATGATACTGTCCAAGGCAAACATCCAGTGTGGCTTGATGTTATGATTCCGAAGAACCTTATTGACCTGCAGGAAGAGAGTGATATTTAGTTTACTCTGATTTCTAATTGTAAAGAAACTAGAATTTTATTAAACTTGATTTCGTGAAACCTGAGCGTCTGGATAAAGTTTTGTCTATAAAGATAATTAGGAGACTTAGGAATAGCAGGAAGAGATGAATGTGTGGCTGACTGCTTCCATGAACAACTGCCCCCTTTACCATGAGAGTAGAAGAACTGGATGGTGCCTGGCTACCACTACTGAGCATTTTGATCAAAGATTCTATAAAAGAATCCTGATGAAAAGGGGGAAAATGCAGAACAGAATTTTAAATTCTCATAGACTCTAGACTATCTGGAGCCACAGAAGCTGGATGAACTCCTTAAACTATTGCCCTGAGATAATCTTTAAACCTTAAACCAAAAATATCCCTTGAAGTCTTTTTAAGTAATAGTTTAGCTTAACTAGGAAAGAATGTCTGCCTAGAGCACTGTGCTCTTTAAAGATCTATTTATATGGAATCAAATTGACAATGAAAACTCAAAAGATTAGATAGGAAACTTAGGAGGCAGTGACTTTATGTTAATCAGGGAGAAACAACTCAGAAAAGGAGAGTGAGAGTGGTTGCACAACTCAAAGAATGTAATTAATGTCACTGAATTGTACATGTAGAAATTGTTGAATTGGTGTATGTTCTACTGTATATATTCTTAACAACAAATAACCAGAAGGTTTCCTCACCTCAAATTGTAAATAAATGTCCTTATGTCACTGGAAAATAAATTAAAAATTGCCACCTCAACTTAAATTTCAGTGAGCCCCATATAAGCAAGTAAGGTAAGTTATTTAAGTGAGAGACAGTGTCACACAAACAGACGTATGCATACCCACGTTCAGTGCAACACTATTCACAATAGCAAAAAGATGGAAACGACCGAAGTGCCCATCAACAAATGAATGGATAAATTATGGTAGATACATGCAATGGACTACTACGCAACAATAAAGAACAATGATGAATCCGTGCAACATCTCACAACATGGATGAATCTGGAGAGAATTATGCTGAGTGAAATAAGTCTATCACAAAAGGACAAATATTGTAAGAGACCACTATTATAAAAACCCAAGAAAAGGTTTACACATAGAAAAAAACAATCTTTGATGGTTATGAGGGAAGGGAGGGGTGGGGAGGGGTAATCACTGACTAGACAGCAGACAAGCGTCAACTTTGGTGAAGGGAAGGACAACACACAATATAGGGGAAGTCAGCACCACCCGACAAAGGCAAACCCCTAAAAGCTTCCTAGACACATCCAAATGCCTTCAGGGACTGAGTTACTAGGGCCGAGGGCTGGGGACCATGGTCTCGGGGGACATGTAGGTCAACTGGCGAAAGCAAAGAGGAGAAGGCAGGAAGCAGCAGGAAACCTGAATGAATGGACACGAGGAACCTGGGGTATGAAAGGAAAGGAAGAAAGTGCTGACACATTGCAGGGATTGCAACCAATGTCAAAAAACAATTTGTATATAAATTTTGAATGAAAAACTAATTTGCCCTGTAAACTTTCATATAAAACAGAATCAAATAAAAAATAAATAAATGAGAGGCAGTCTGGTAAAATGGGAATGCTGCTTCTTTGAACTCAGAATATGCAGCTTCCAGCTTTCATGACCTCTGCAGTATGGATAGTGGAGATGGCAAAGGAGGAAGAAAGAGACCAAGGAGCTTTAAATAAAATTAACACTGTTCTCATGTGAAGATTGTTGAAATGGTAAATGTTTTGTTACATATATATTTATCACAATGGAAAAAAAAAAGAATACAGAGAGCTTCTGTGTAGGCTTGAAATATAATTAACAATGTTCTCATGTGAAGATTGTTGAAGTGGTAAATGTTTTGTTACATATCGTTACCAGAATAAAGAAATAATAAAGAGATCCTGTGTACCCTTTACATAGTGTCCTCCAATGGTCACAACTTACAAAACCACAATACAGTGTATCACAACTAGGATATTGACATCGATACACTCAAGATACAGAACATTTCCATCACCACAAGGACCCCTCATGTCACCCTTCTATAGCCATGCCCATTTCCCTTCTCCCTACCCTTAACACCAGGCAACTATTTATCTGTTCTCTATTTCTGTAATTTTGTCATTTCAAGAATGTGCTATAAATGGAATTCTACAATATGTAACCTTTTGGGATTGGCTTTTTTCACTCAGCATAATTCTTTGGAGACTCACCCAGGTTGCTGCACGCATCAATAGTTTGTTCCTTTTTACAGCTATGAATTCCACAGTATGGTTGAACCACAGTTTGTTTAACTCTTCACTGGTTGAGGAGCATCTGGGCTGATTCTAGTTTGGGGCTACTATGAACAAAGCTGTGATGAACATTTGGTACAAGTTTTTGTGTGAACATAAAGTATCCCAAAACAAAACAAAAACAAAAAAACCCACTGTTTTAAACCTGCTGTTTAAACTATCAAGTGCTTCAGCATACCCTAGTGATCTGGAAAGCAAATAAAGAAGGGAAATTAGCATTTACCTGGTACCTAGAGACCTGCCACAGTGCATGATTTGTTTTCCTTCCCACAGTGGTTTATATCTCTGTAAACAGGGGAATGATCTGCTACAATATTCTAGAAAGGCTGTTCATATTAAAAATCTTTGGTGTAAGGATATCTTTTTTTAAGTGCCTAATCATATTTCATATATTTAAATAAACAATGGTTTATTCAATGGATTATGAAATAGATATGGGCATTATCTGTTTACCAACAACCTTTTATTATAAAACTAAGAAAGGCTTATTTGAAATTATTTAAATTTTATTTAAATGATTATTTAAAACTCCACTAACTGCTGGTAGACACAGGCCTCTAAGAAAAGAGGCCACCACATAAACCAGAGACTTCATCAGCCTGAGACCAGAAGAACTAGATGGTGCCCGGCTACCACCAATGACCGACCTGACAGGGAACACAACTGAGAGTCCCTGATGGAGCAGGAGAAAGGTGGGGTGCAGAACTCAAATTCTAGTAAAAACACCAGACTTAATGGTCTGACTGAGATTGGAGGAACCTCGGAAAGCATGGCCCCTGGACTCTCTATCAGACCAGAACTAAAATAATTTCCAAGGCCAACTCTTCAGACAAAGATTGGACTGGACTGTGGGATATAAAATGATACTCATGAAGAGTGTGCTTCTTAGCTTAAGTAGATACATGAGACCAAATGGGCAGCTTCTGTCCAGCGGTGAGATGAGAAGGCAGAGAGGGTTAGGAGCTGGTTGAATGGACATGGGACATCAGGGGTGGAAAGGAGGACTGTGCTGTCACAGTGCAGGGAGAGCAGTTAGGGTCACATAACAATGTATGTATAAATTTTTGTATAAGAGACTAACTTCAAATGTAAACTTTCACTTAAACTACAACAACAACAACAAAAAAAAAAAGAGGCCACTTCCTCAACAGGGCTTTGAATAGAGACCCCAGAGGAAGCTGGGAAGAACGTGACCCAGCTGCAATCCCACACTGAGAGCTAGAGTTCAGTTGCTCAGTTCCTCCTCTTGGTCGATCTTCATCAAAATCCCCCAGTTTAGAAGGGAGCCCATCTGAGGAATCCTTCATAGGAGTTGTTCCTGAGGGTTCCCCCTTGTTCTAGAAAATCCTTTACAGACTGAGTTTGTCCTGGTAGCTTCATTTTTTTAAAGGATTTGCATGCTTATTTGAGTAACATGGGGTGTAACATTTAGTAAACTGAAATATTTCTCCTAGAGCCAGGCATGCAAGGTAAAGAAGTACCTCTGTCACCATGACGTGTTCCTCATAACTCTTCATTAAACAGTATATCACATAGGACCCATTCTTTGGGTTCATTTCCATCCTAGACAGAGAGTGAACAAAAGCAGTGGGGTATGTGCGTGGGTGTCTGACGTGGGTCCAAGGCCAAGGTCCATTACAACTACACAGTTCTCAATCTGAATTCTACTGGCCAATTTGCTTCCCAGTCTCTAGGATGGAAACCAAACATGTGGGCAAGCGCGAATTAGCTAAATTATTTTATTCTCTTTGCAGATGGCTGGGTTTCCTCAGTTGCAGTGTCAGCGTGCCATTAGCATTTAATATCAGTGGTAGGTTTTGGAAGTTGCTTTCCTTCCTATGATCTCAATCACGTCAGGAGTCTTCTTCCTGTCCATGATGTAGCACAAAAACTAAGTGGTTTACACGGTGTCTCAGAGAACCCTGTTGAAGGATTATAATTTGGTCTTAAATCAGGGATCATTTGGTGCTCCACATATGATTGTCAAGACACCTTCTTCAGAGGAGCAATAAACACATTAAAAAAACCAAACCTGTTGTCAAAGTCAATTCTGATTCATAGTGACCCTATAGGACAGAGCAGAACTTCCCCATAGGGTTTCCAAGGAGCGGCTTTTTGGTTAGCAGCCCAGTTCCTAACCACTATGCCACCAGGACTCCATAAACACATTAGGGGTAAATTAATCCTTTGGAATTTAAACAAAATTATGTGGAGTGCCTCCATATTCACACCACAGGAACCATCTCCCACACCTTGCAAGGGCATTCTGGGAGTGGCTTAAACCTTTCCTGGTACAAAGTTGCACAGGTAAGTCTTATCAAAGAGTAACACAAATGGTTTTGAATCAGGCTTTAGGAGGACCAGATTCTAGTTTGTGTTGCACATACACAAAAAAAAAAAACTAAACCCACTGCCATTGAGTTGATTCCGACTCAAAGTGACCCTGTAGGACAGGGTAGAACTGCCCCATAGGGTTTTCAAGGCTGAAAAATCTTCACAGCAGCAGACTGCCACATTTTTCTCCCATGGAGCCACTGGGTGGGTTTGAACAGCCCACCTTCTGGTTAGCAGCTGATCACTTAACCACTGTACCACCAGGGCAATTCAATTTTAGAGAGAATTCTCAGCCATCTCTCATTAGGTCATGAGATTGCCTTCCATTCTGTGGTGCTCTGTACTCTGAAGTATATTCTTGGCTAGGAAATTGTAGACATTTATAAAGCAAACATGATAAAAATGTTCTGTATAGAAACCAGAGAAAAACTGAAAAAAAAAAAAAAAAAAGGTTTTATTTAGCAGTGACCATGGTGGTGCAGAGGTTAAGAGCTTGGCTGCTAATCAAAAGGTCAGCAGTTCGAATCCACCAGCTGGTCCTTGGAAACCCTATGGGGCAGTTCTACTCTGTCCTATAGGGTCGTTATGTGTCGGAATTGACTCAACAGCATGGGGTTTGGTCTTTTTGGTTTTTATTCCGATTTGTACTGTTACATTTGTCTCTATGGCCACTAGATGGTGTTTCTCACAGAGAATTAGAAAGTACATGACTAAAGTGTGTTATGCTGCTGAAGTCAATGAAATAGAGACCCACTACATGATTTCATAAGAACAAAATTTGGCAGTGGCAGATGTTTATACGTTTTGCTGTTTTCCATGGTGATTCAGTTTTGTGTATGTAACTTTGAGGAATGCAAAAAATCAAAACAACAAACCTGACACTTAGAAACACACAAATGGGCAAATATCTCATATTTATCCTTCATAAAGACTAGAGTTTGTTGAAATTATTAAAGAAATGCAAGAACATTTTCTGGATAATTTTAGCTTGAGTCTGTGAGAAAACAGTGGTAAAATATCATACTTACAGCATCTTGAAAACCAAAGAGAACCACTTGAACTTGACTGATGCCGTGGCTGTCGAAGTCTAGCTCTAGCTTCAGCTTTGACAGAGTGGTGGCTATGATTTTTCGGTCAGTGGATCTCACAAATTCTCTGAGGCTTGCGATGAGGGTTGTGATGTGTTCCCACTTTAGTTTAGGTTCTTCAGCCCCCTGTGGAAAAAACAACAACCTCTCAGTTGATCAATGCTGGACACATCAGCCATGAGTCTACAACGCCCACAACCTTTCTGAGAAGAATTGGGTTTCAAAATACTCCTGCTAAAGGAAAAGACCATATTTTGAACTATATGGCTCCTCCTACCCCCCAAGAAAGAATCAGACTTTGGGAGGAAGGGCACCTGCCCCCCGCATTGACCAATAACCATGATGTAGTCAGAAATACAAAGTCCCAGGATGCTGTAAACAATACGCTTAGCTGCTCACTGAAAGGTTGGAGGTTTGAGTCCACCCACAGGTGCTTCAGAAGAAAGGCCTGGCGATCTACTTCCAAAGAACCAACCATTGAAAACCTTATGGAGCACAGTTCTATTCTGACACACATGGGGTTGCCACGAGTCAGATGATGGAAACTGGTTTTCATCAGCTACACAAAGCTTTGCCCAAACAGGGACAGGCTTAGGAAATAAAATTTATGCCCTCAGAAATTTTAATTAGGAACTAAAGAGAGAATCAGGCAGTAAGCCACAGGATCTCAAGCTCAAAGTTGGCCCAGAGACAGAAGTCATAAAATAGAGTCATGAGTATGTCCATTTATAGGGAAGGAAACAGAAGTAATGGAGCTGAGAATAACAATCAGCAGGGAGAGAAGTGGACAGAAACAGCAACCAAGCCAGAGAGAAATGTGTAAACTCATACAACCTGAAGTTCCTTGGAACCACACTCTAGTATCAATCCACTTCCCTCATTGCTGTGTGTCTCCGTATAACACATCCCAGGTACTTCAATTGCTCTAAACCATGTTAATTCTTTGCAACTAAAAGGGCCCACCTCAAACTCCATCCCTGAAACCATTCCTTAACCCATCTACGATGCACTTAATTATAAGAAAAGGACCAGCAGACTATTTCACGTATTACAAAGGTAATACAATATTTAAACAAATTCCCTCTCTCAACTTGAATGTTTACTTTGAATAAGGAAGATTTCTTCTTTATGGAAAATATAACCCGTTGCTGTCAAGTGGATTCTGACTCAGAGTGATCCTATAGGACAGAGCAGAACTATCCCACAGGGCTTTCAAGGAACAGCTGGTAGATTTGAACTGCTGACCTTTTGGTTAGCAAGCAAACTTTTAACCACTGTGCCACCAGGTCTCCACAGAAAATACAGTAAGATGTTATTTATCCTCATTCAACTTTAAGAAACAACAGGGTTTTTATTATGCTCATTTCTCTTATTGTACCCTTTCTTACTGCATCATTAAAATCAAATTCCTCAATTGGGCTGTGATGGTTACACTTTCCAGGATTCTACGAAAACAAAGAGAAATACACCATCAAGTTCTTTCTCTCAATATGTTTTCATGAAAAAAGATTATACTGAAAAGCTTAAATGCCACCATTAAGGGATATTTTAAAATCAGACTGGGAACAATGCTTTTTTCTCACCACAAACTAAATTACACTCAAAGTAAAGAATCACAAGCAAAATCATAACAACATGAAAATATGTTCAATGAGAAAAAAAATGAGTTATTCAGAAATTGGAAGCTTATCTCAGTAAAAAATCAGTTTTGTGTTTGCCAACCATTTAAAAAGCTAACATTTTTTTTTTTGACATTAGGTTTGTTTTCACAACAGAAAAACATGTTGTTTCTGGTTTTTTGATTTGTGTGTCACTGTCCTACAAAGGAATGCTCTCAACTCTGGGAAATGTTTCTGTCCAGGCTCTTTCATCCACTTACGTAATTGTTATTTCTGTTGTAACTCCAGTCTCTCAGTGTTAACTCATCATGTACCTTCCTAAACGAACATCCTAGGTATTGGGGGAAACTGATGCCATATCAGAAGGTACATTTATAGTACACCTGCTATGGACTGAATTGTGCCCCCCCAAAATACACGTTGAAATCTTAATCCCTGTGCCGATAATCCTTTTAGAAAATATGGGTTTTCTTTTGTTATATAAACGAGACCATGACAGAATAGGGTGGGTCCTAAACCTAAATCAATGCCAAGTTATAAAAAGAGCAGAAGAGACACAGAAACACACAGATGGAAGAGGAAGACAGATGACAGAGACAGATGCATCTACAAGTCCAGGAATGCCAATGCATCTACTAGAAGCTGAAATAGACAAGGGAGGACCACTCCCTAAAGCCATGCCAAATTCAGACTTCTACTCTTCTGAAGTGTGAGAAAATAAATTTCTGTTCTTTAAAGCCACCCACTACAGTATTTCTGTTACAGCAGCACGAGGCAACTAAGACAGCGTGTTTGCTGAGCTCTCATAGCCGCAGGCACAGTTGCAACTTCCTTAATGACAATGAGTGGATTTCAGAATGATTACAGATTCAAGACTTCCATGGGATAGGCTGAGAAAACGGTCAACATGTACATTCTGGCTTTGTTATAAAGGGCAGGCTTGAATGTAAAGATGTATCTAGAAAGATTTAATACTACAATGAAATGAATTCTATTTGGTTGTAGAAAAAAAGATATTAGACACTGTTATTAGTCTGCTTGATAAAAATAAAAACAATAATAACAGTTAATGTTTATAGAATGCTTTCTGTTATGATCTCAGTTATGCATGATTTCAAGTACTCCTTGTTATGGATTGAACTGTGTCTCCCAAAAATATTTGTTGTAAATCCTAACCCCAAACGTGTGGATGTAATCCCATCTGGGAATAGGGTTTCCTTTGTTACGTTAATGAGGCTATATCAGTGTAGAGTATGTCTTAAACCAACCATTTTTGAGATATAAAAGGAGCAAATTAGGCACAGAAGCAAAGCACAGATGGGGGAAGACAGATGCTATGCCACATGAAGATCGTCAAGGACCTTCCCTCAAGAGTGGACAGAGAGAGAAAGCCTTCTCCTCGGGCTGGTGGCTTGGATTCAGATTCTAGCCTCCTAAACTGTGAGAAGATAAATTTCTGTTCATTAAAGCCACGTACTTGTGGTATTTGTACTACAGCAGCACTAAGAAAGTAAGATACTCCTTATAGCAACCATACGGGGGATACTATTGTTTCCCCTACTTTATAGACGAAGAAACTCAAGCTCAGAGAAGCTAAATAACTTCCTCAAATCACACAGCCTTTAAGTACAGGAACTAGGCTTCAAATAAACACAAGTCAAAGCTGAGCCCAAGCTCTTAACCATTACATTCCACTGCCCCAAAAAGCTGAAATAGCCAGCGGTAACCGGGGTTCCAGTTCCTGCTCCACCACTCAACCACGGTGTGATGTCACAGAAAATGATACACAACGTCCTTAGCAGAAGGACCCTCACTATCACTTGATGATGCTGGATTTAACCTGTGATTCCGACAAGCAGCTTCTGGTACTCACTGGTAGTTTCCTGCTGGTGCAGCAAGGCAGGCCCTCTGATTGTTGCCCTTTTTCTTTCTTTGTTTTTTCAAATTGATAGTTGCTTTTAAAGTTTTCTTTCATTTCTCCTTTTATAGAGAACACTCAAGTATGCTTTAAGAAGTAGGAAGTAATAAATAATTGAATATGATTACCCAACTCTAAAATTTAAGAATTTCAGCACAGTCACGGAGGTGAATTCTCTTGACGGGTTCTGTGCTGGGGTTGGGACTACAGCGATGACCACGGCAGTTGCTGTCCTGATGGGGCTGACGGTCTACCAGGGAGATTGTCTTAGTCTACTAGTGCCAGTGTAACAGAAATACCACAAGTGGATGGCTTTAAAGAACGGAAATTGTTTTCTCACAGATATGAAGGCTGGAAGTCCAAATCTGAGTCTTGGCTTTATCGATTTCTTCCTTGTCAGTGGCCCTGGGCATTCCATGGCCCCTTGGTGATCCTCACATGACATCTGTCTTCCCCTGTGTGTGTGTGAGTGCTTCTGTGTCTAATCGGCTCTTTTAATAACTCAGAAGTGATTAGGTTTAGGACACACCCTATCCTGGTATGGCCTCAATAACACAACAAAGAAAACCCTATTTCCAAACAGGATTACATCCACAAGCAGGGTTTAGGATTTCAACAAGTATTTTGGGGGTGTGCAATTCAGTCCATAAAACAGACAAAGATAAATACCTGAAACAAGCAGATGCTTTCTGCCCTGGAAAAACACACCCTTTCAGGATCATTAGGGAGTTTAGGCAATCCCTGGCTTCTTTGTGTTTCTGGCCGACAACAGGCATCTTAAACAAGTGCTCACAGGCAGAGCCTTCACCCAACAGTGGCTAATGCCAATTTCCTTTCCTTCCTGCACACACTCACCCCAGCCCCTGCAGTGCTTTATGTTCTCCCAGCACTTGTCACCATCTGGCTTAACAGAGGGGCAATGCAGTGTGATGGTTAGGAGCACAGACCTTGGGGTCAGATTGCCTGGATCCAAATACTGACTTCATCGCTTAGGGCTGCAGGCTTGGCAAGCTACTCAACTTCTCTGTGCCTAGTTCTCTCCACTGTAAAATGAGGATGTCAATAGTACTACTACTATAGTATTACCGTCATGAAGATTAAATGAGTAAATACACATGAAGTATTGAGAACAGCACCTGGCCCACAGAAGTGTTTGTTTTATTATATATTTAACTAATGTTTTTATTGTTTTTCTTCCTCCACTACAATGTCAGCCTCAACAGGATGCAGATTTTTTTTTTTTTTAGTTTTGTTCACTGTAGTATTCCCAGCACAAGGAATAGTGCCTGGCACTTAGTAGATGCTCAACAGGTATTTGTTGAATGAATGAACTCCAATTGCTGCCCAGTTGCTACCTCCATCTAAATGTAGTTCGCCTTCTTATCTCATCCCATCCCATTCTCAGTCCTTGAATGACCACAGTGAGAGGAAGGAAAAGCAAGAGAGAAAGCTAAAGGTTCAGGACTGCGCCATACTCCTCCACATCTCCTACCATTCCTGGGCAGCATCCTTGGTTCTCATCCTACTCTCAACTTAGAGGTCCAGCTACCCCTTATCTCAGAGGACCCTCCTTCCTGGGCTTCAGAGTAACTGCTCAAGACAGCTTTCTATAGGACCAGAGTCAGCATTTTCCCAAAAAGTAGAGATAGTGCTCATTTTGGTCTGGAGACTCGACTGGCATACATGTGACATTTTGGGAGCCCTGGTGGTGCAGTGGTTAAGAGCTTGGCTACTAACCAAAAGGTCAGCAGTTCAAATCCACCAGCAGCTCCTTGGAAACCCTATGAGGCAGCTCTATTCTGTCCTATAGGGTTACTATGAGTCAGAATCAACGCGATGGCAACAGGGTTGGTTTTTTGGCTTTTTTGGTATATAATTTAAACAAGGGGATGCTAAAGAACTCCTTTTGTGACAGAATTTAATGTTAGGCTCATAAGAGAGCAGAGAAGCTTAACGGGGTTCTCAAGACAAGCAAGCTGTGGCTGGACAGTAAGAGCCAAGAAAGAGAGAGTCTTGCTTCGCTTACATCCCAGTAAAAGCTGAAAACAAGTAAACTGGCGGGCTGACTTTAAAAATTGCCCAACCCTTCTAGCTTCATCCTTTTTGCAGCTGTTTTCCCAGGACAGAAGCAGGGAAGAAGCTGCGTGCAGTCCACTGTGATCACGAAGAACAGCTGGGCCATGGTGGGGAAGCAGGTAGAATCCCTGATGCCCATAGAACCAAAGAAAGAGGATAAAAACGCTGAGACTGAGCATGTCAGTGGGAGGGTGATAGCTGCAAGGGGCCTGAGCTTCTGCCCTCACCTCAGAAGTCATCATCAGTGTCTTGGAGTTGGGGGAACCCTGTTTGCACTGGAGCAGAGTTGAGGAGAGATTCTTTTCCGTAACACATTTTCCCAAGGAACGACAGTTTCACTGACCAGTGTGCTTTTTTTTTTTTAAATAGTGCTTGTGACCTTCTAACCTATTGGATGGTGCAAACAGTTAATGAGCTCAGATGCTAACCGAAGGGATGGAGGTTCAAGTCCACCGAAAGACACCTGAGAAGAAAGGCCTGGCTTTTCTTCCCAAAACATCAGCTGTTGAAAACCCTATGGATCACATTACTACTCTGACACACATGGGGTCACCATGAGTCAGAATCGGCTCAATAGCAACTGGTTTTACTGGTTAACATACTGTCATGGATTGAATTGTGTCCCCCAAAAAATGTGGGTAGCAACTTGGCTAGGTCTTGATTCCCAGTATTGTATGATTGTGTTATCTGAGGTGATTTCCTTATGTGTTGTAAACTCTACCACTGTGATGAGATTATATGTGATCTCATGTGTTATAAATTCTATCACTGTGATGAGGTTATACTGATGAGGTTGACAAGATTAGTGTCTTAATGCAATCTCTTTTGAGATATAAAAGAGAGAAGTGAGCAGAGACATATGGGAACCTCATACCACCAAGAAAGCCAAGCTTTGGACCTGAGGTTCCTGTGCAGAGAAGCTCCCAGACCAAAGGAAGACTGATGACATGGACTTTCCTCCAGAGCCGACAGAGAGAGAAAGCCTTCACCTGGATCTGATGCCCTGAATTTGGACTTGTAGCCTACTTGACTGTGAGAGAATAAATTTCTCTTTGTTAAAACCATCCACTTGTGGGATTTCTGTTACAGCAGCGCTAGATGACTGAGACACATACTGTGTAATATACTTATTATACTTCTTGTTTATGGGCTGTCACCCTTCAACTGAATGTAGCCCCACAGCACAGAGGTCTCTTATATTTGCTGATGCTTCCTGAATGCACAGAGGAGTGACTGGTCCATAGTAAGTGCTCACTACGTGCTTACTGACTAAATGAAGAAATACACAAATGAAGGCTTAAAGATAACCCTTATAACTTTGTTCTGTAGGGTGTTTGCTTTATTACTATATATTTAACTTTGCACCTGGTAACTTGTAGGGACTAGCTGGAACTTCACCAAAGTGACAAGTTTGTTTCTGACTTAAAAATAGCAATGTTCAAAAATGCAGTTTCTAAGTTAGGGATGTGACTTTTTCCCCCATGGTGTAGGTTTGTTTTATCATATGAGCACTCCAGCTTCCTTGTGTCTCTAAATAATTAGTCTAATATGTTACAATTCAAGGTGGTTATAACAGTTAGAAAAACAAGTAAACTTTTCAAAGTGCGGGGTCCGTGAGAGGCTTTACCTGAGCCAAAGACTCCATTAAATTTCTCACGATTTTGTCTTGGTCTTCTGTTAGGATCCTGTGAAGAGTAGCTCTTCTTTCACTGTCCTTCCTCAACAGAAAGAAACCGGAATCTTTTTCTTCAGGGGAAGGTGGAGCACTGTGATCTTCAAAATTTTCATCTGGAATGCTGTAATAAATTTACGTAGCATCAATCACAATTTCCTTTATTAAATGACACACTTAACGACAATCTTCTTTCCACTCAAAATAAGTCAGGTCTTTACCCCAAAAAGAGTGTCCGTATTCCTTTTACATCTTTTTCTCCACAGGATTTGGGTCTTGTTTTGAAAGAGAAGGGGTCCACTTTTAACTCATTGTCAGGTGAAACTGAGCCATATTCACTACTGCTGCTCGTATCTTCGACCAGGACAGGGACCGGTAGGGATATACTCCTAAGATATTCTGCATGTGATGAGATGGGGAAAGAAGATGATTAACGCTTTTAAGAAATTGTTGTTGTTAGTTGCCATGAAGTCAATTCTGACTCATGGCAACCCCATGTGAGCAGAGCAAAACTGCTCCATAGGGTTTTCAAGGCTGAGACCTTTTGGAAGCAGATCAACAAGCCTGTCTTCCAAGGAGCCTTTGGGTGGGTTCAAACCACCAACCTTTTGGCTAACAGTTGAGCACTTAGCTGTTTGCACCACCTAGGAACTCCTTTTAATAAATTACACATACTGAAACACCTATTGAAAGACAGCAATATTATTTGTCAAATATCTCGTTGCAATTATACCACGTAAGAGGCTGGTCACAGATTATGACTGCTCCCTGTCTGCCTGCTCAGTATGATCCATGTGGGCAGGTCACTGATAAAGGGCCTCCTGGGCCCTGGAAGGGATATCTGTGGGTGTGAAACAGTGGAGGAAGCACCAGGCCCTGCCAGTCCTGAGTTCTGATCCCCTCATTTTTACTGATTACCTCCGAGACTTTAGGAAGGTCAATTACAGGACTCAGTTTTCACACTTTTAAAATAAAGGACTAGATTTGTAGGGTTTCAGCCAAGTTCCTCAGAGCCTGAAGTGTCCACCTTCGCATCTTGGGGCTGCCATGGGCAGGGGTGAATGAGTGGGATGCTGTGAGTCTAGAACGTATTTGTTACCTAAAGCAAATATGTTCTATCAGTCTTATATGTCAGGGTTTTGCTTAAGAATTCATATACAAAAGGGTTCTTGGCCAAAAACAAATTTTGGGAACCAATGGATTAGATGATCTCTTAGGTCTTTCCCTGTCTCAGATACAATGACTCTATAACAAACAGGGGGCTCTTTATTTTACCCTGATGGTTCTAAAAAAAGTAATTTTTGCCACAAACATCTTTACTAAACAAGCGTCACAATATTACAAAATTCCTTTATTAAAGAAGGTAGATGTAAAATTATATAAAAAAAGGAAATCCACTGTTGCCTGGGATTGCCTTTTTTATTTAATTTCTCTCGGGCTGGGCATAATAGTGAAGAGCTTGGCTGCTAACCAAAAGATTGGCAGTACAAATCCACCAGCTGCTCCTTGGAAACCCTATGGGGGCAGTTCTACTCTGTCCTTACAGGGTTGCTATGAGTTGGAATCGACTTGATGGCAATGGGTTTGGTTTTTTTGGGCTGGGCTGAATCAGCAACTGCCTCAGATTCAAAGAGGCCAGTGAGCCAGCAGTAGACTCCTAACTGTTCACTGGGACTGCAAATCAGTAATCATTGCTGGGGAAGGGGTGGTGGTAGGGTGGCGGGCCATCAAGACTGTGATTGGGCATCTGGACAAGTCTGCAATGCACTTACCTCACATCTCTGATTTATATATATCTGAAAGCCAAATAGACCTCCCTTCTCCTTTCTTTCTTCCCTTCCACCAATTATTTTTAGACTCTATAT